TATCTTGTGATGTAGGGAAACGAAAAGATTTAAACACTGGAACACATGGAAATTTCCAATAATAATATTATTGGAAATGGCGTACAACAATGTCAGCAACGAAGAAATACAATGACACAGTCTCAATAACTTGATTTCCTTAATATCTCAAATTCCTATTGTTCCTTTTACAAGATTTACCTCTACAAGTCGAATATTACGAAAAAACCTCGGTAACTCCTTATGTTTTTGCTGTTATTTAAATTTACTGTCAAAATTGACTGTCTACAACTCATGACTGCCTTTCTAAAGAGCACAGCTGACTTGGGTAGCGTATCGGACTGTTATACTCAAGTTCGCGGATTCAAACCCAAAGATTTTTAAAGGCAAAAAAAGCCTTCCTTCAGAGAGGAAATAAAGCCGGCTATCCCATGTTAGTCGATTTACTGAATGTAAAAGATCCTCAAGCCTAAATGAAGTCTCTGAGCTAAATTCAAATTGCCTGCTTCATTGCCCAAGAAATACCTTTCTCCATTCAATTCAATTCAAAACTGTTTTGAAAGTCCTACCCAATGTGACATAAATGTTTAAAAGAGAGCACAGTACAGTGTCAAATTCCCAAGTCACTTCCAAAGGTTACCCAAACTTGAAGCATAATTAAAATTTCTCACAAGCCTCCAAAACAAAAGAAATTATTTGTCAGTGTAATAGTGCACAGACAAATAATTTCTTTTGCTTTTAATAATTTTATGAATACTTTAAAAATTGTTTCTTACCTAATGATTATTCATACATTAATCTTATTTAATTATATTTATTTGTAGCTAGAAACATTCAGCAGAAAACAATGTCGATAAATTTCATTTTAATTATTTGAATAGTTTAATTCTCCTCAGTAATTTCCAGCTCATTAAATCAGAATATTAGGTAATTTGGAACACCCCCATCCTTCAGATTTAAGATATCACAATTCTACTCATACGTATCAAGACACCACATGGAATGAGAAAGAATGGCACAAAAACAATTAAATAATAAAGCACAAAAATAATTAAGAATTGAACAAATTAAGTTTTCAAAATCACAGGAGAAAATATAGGATCATATGGATAGAAAGTATGGAGAACAGTAATGGCTAAGAATGTGTAGAACAACTTCAGACTGAGGTGATGTTCAAAGACAAAAATAGAATCAATAAACTAATATCAGAAACAAGACAAAGGCTTAAAAATGCAAGCTAGAAAACCAAGTAAATGATGAGCTTTGAGGGAAAGAAGCAATTTACAAATTGGGAAATAAGTACAGTGACGCCCCAATACATTATGATTCAAAGTAATACTATCACGTTATAGCACTAAGTGTTAAAGCAAATTGCATTAAAATAACAACCAGCACTAATGACTGACTAGGCCTATTGAAACTTCTACGAGAGCAAAGTAGCAAAAATAATTAGCCTTGGAGCCAAAGTCTCATAAAAAACATAATAATAGTAATATTAATAATAATAATAATAATAATAATAATGATAATAATAATAATAATAATAATAATAATAATAATAATAATAATAATAATAATAATATTTCATTGGCTGTCATGTTTGAAGTTTAAAACTTAAAATGATTTAATGGCTCTGAATATATGGCAAGTATCAGTAAATACACAGAAGCAAAGTATCTTCAATGTTAAAAAATCAATTAAAATAATTTGAATTTGAGAATTTGTTAAAAATAATAAATATTTATTCAATGGGAAGGTTTTGTTTTAAAATCTACACACACAAAATGAATAATAATGGTTGAAATTTTTAAAAAGATAAAGAAAATATCGAATTCTAAAAACATGAGAAAAGAAGAAAGAAAAAACAACAAAAACACATACACGAAGAATTATGAAATTGGCAAGTAAATCTCTTGGAAACTATTCAGTGCATTTAATTTGAACATTATATAATTTTTGTAGATACATTATTTAAATACTTTCTCAATTCTTTTGACTGAAGAGCTTTGAATGCTGTGCACTTAATATTGTCAAAGTTAAGCAATGTTTTTTAAATGTGTGTAATGAGAACATTTCTTTTAATTGTTAAGTCTTCAATCATTCTCAAAATGTTCAGAAAATAGGAGATCAAGAAAAGGAGATGTATTGCAATTAATATAGATTTAAAATTTGTAGTAGTTCTGTGGTGTTTGCATGAAAATTACATTTCACATTCGCATCAATAATTACAACCCTCCTGTCATTTGCAAACTGAGCTCTAACTCCTTGTTTGAAGAGTTTCTGTAAAACAACTTTTTTCAAACTTCATTTAATTTTAATGGCAGAAAGCACCAAAGGGGTATAATGTAAAATATTGGTTCCCATTTTAATATCTGTTATTTTAATTAAACAGTTTAATAAGCTTATTAAAACTTTTATAATTTTCGTTTCTTCTTTTTAAAAAAGAGTATTCCACTTTACTACCATTTCCTTTTACATATTTAAAATCAACTACAAATGTACTACTTAGCGAACAACCTTGAATGTCGAGCTTCTCTTATCCATACAGATCCATACAAATGTCAACTGATGCCACAGAATTGGCACCTTATGCATTTGACAAAATCATGTTCAAAGGCCATCGACTTTCACTGACACTAAATGTATGGCAACAGTGAATCAAACAATGGAGGGGTGCTGCAAGCTGCCCAACCACAGTTGATGGAAATGGGAGGGGACTCAGCTGAAGACGCACTGAAGACTTTTTTCTACAAGGTCAGGCGATAATGTGCTCTTATTTTTTTCTTTTAAAAGGAGTTCCTTACATAACACCTTGTGCTTCTGGTTTGTTACAGCAATGTGAATTGAAAACAAAGTTCTCAGAACCTGTTTTGTGTTTAAGAGCAAAATCCATAGCCCAGATACTTTGAGAAGTAGTAATTGGATATATTTCTTGGCGATAAGAATATTTTGAATCTACCTGCATCTCCCTCTGACAACTATTTTCCAAACATGAAGCCAAATGATTATTTTTTTGCATGAGGTTAACTCAAATCAACTTAATGATATGTATTAAACTGTAAACGGTTAGTAGGAAGCACTAGTTTGTAGATAAACTACAAGGAATTCAAATGTCTATGTAATAAAAACTTCACTGTTCTCTTTTTACAAGAATAGACACATTAATTACAATTGCAGATATTATACAGAAGCATTTCAAACGTTTTGTGGGTACATTTCAATATGTTTGTCCAAAAGAAAATACAGTTCTACACTGAAATGGTGAGCAATTCAACTTTCAAAAATAAATAGTAATTCAATATAACAAACTACTAAAATGGTTGTCACAGACTAGAAGAGGTATTTCAAAAATAAAGGTGGAAAATGAATTAAAAAATTCATCAATGATATTAAATAAGAAGTCGTTAATAATACCTTTTTAATTACATTAGTGTACATGGAGTTCCTAGGGTGAATATCAACAGAGTGTTAAGGAAGGACCATACTAAGCAAAAGTATATAACAAGGATACACAGCCAAATAATTACAAAGTCATATTCATGCCTAACCTAAATAAATAACAACTTAAATTAATCAGATTACACAACAGAAAAATAACAACAGAACATAATATCATCAATCTAATTCATTGGGAAATGAGTGGTACATTAAAGAGTATTACCTGTCACTACCAGTAGAAGTTTCAAGATTCTTCAGGTTTTTCAAGAGAGTCGATGAGTTCTTGTATTCTCTTCACACACAGAGTGGAACCACAATGAGCATCTTTGCTGACCTGTACAATAGACAGATATTACTTGTAAGGACATTCAGATCTATGGAAACATAAAAACCTTTCAATACCATACCAATACCAACATAATACCAAAATGTTACCTGAAAAGTTTTTACTAAAAATTATGCAACTTGCACTGTTTCTGGAGAAGGTGGGTGGGGGAAATATTTCTAACATAACTGAAGGCTTGAAATAAAGAAGGATGTAGTGTCATTTCATACTTTGAGAAACATGAGTTTATATATGCGTAAAACCTATTGACACATGCAAGTCCTGCCATTTATAATAACCGTAACACCATCAAGAAGTGCATCTGGACTTTGGTTCTTATTTATATTATAGCGTTTGATTCATTCATCATTATTCTAGTAAAAATGTAAATTTAACAGAAATGACACTTGTATCATGTTTTATTTTAAGTCTTCAATTCTTGAACAACTATTTTAATTCTTCCACTAAATTATTATTAGTATTGGAATTTTGAGATCAGCCAAATGTGGTGCATAAAAGCACAGGTCGGTCCGATAGTTATCAGAGATCTGGGATTTGTTCTGCAAACTTTGTGAAAGACCTGACTAAACTCCCAGGTCATTCAAAAGACTGAAGTGTGACACATTGCTTTATTGGGAATAGCCCACATTTTGCACAAAGAATTGTAGAGGCACTGAGAGTCCATACATCTGCTCCTTAGGAAGCAGATTGCATCTCAGAGTAGATTTTATAACCAACCGACTCATAACATAGCCGTGAATTAAAGGAGAAAATATAATAATAATCATGAGTAATCCATTATCATTGGCATCTCTCTACATTGGAAATATAACACATACAACAAAAACCTGAAATTTTAAAAGAAACATCACATTTTCTCTACATAATTCTTGCCTTTTATAACCTGCATCACATTAATACACATCATTTCCTTCTGGCTGGGAAATGTCGCATATTGAATTCCTATTTGTTCTGCCTACCTGACACAAGACATGTTCTTATTTTTTCTGTATTTTTTCAAAATTTAGGCACCTTGATGTAAGTAGAGAGAAAAAGTATGTTTCACAATCACTATGCTTTACACTATGCAAACTAAACAGACTACACAAGTAAATACATTAAATATATATTACAATAAAATGTACAACAGATTTTCTCAATTTATGTAAAAAAAATTTTTATACAAAGAATGACATGTCATTTACAAATGTAAGCATACCAAGCTCTTAGAACTGTAAATCACTCAGTAGCATCTTACCAGAGCAAAATTCAGGAACCCATGAGGTAATCCTTCCAATATGTCCAAATGAACTGTGTTTCCAAGGCCTTTTAGTTTTTTGGCAAACATTACACAGTCGTCCAAGCAAGGATCCATTTGCACAGACTGAAATAGAAGTACCAAAATGTCACACTGGATTCATTTAAAATACGGGGCACAGAAATACTGAAACATCAATCAAATCAAAGTTGATTTTTTACTGACACTCTTTCAGGTAGAAAAATTGTATTGTGTATTGTATTTATCTAGCATTCATTCTCCATTATGTTTAACAATTCCACTAGGGTTGGTAGTGCTAAATGAAAGGGGTGTCTGAACAAGTGACCATCACGCACTGCCCATAACCAGCAGATCACCTAGTATCTCCACATTTCCATACTGGTGGAACCAGGTATCTGGTGATTGAAAGGGCCTGCAATGAGGTAAAAGCTGTGTCCTCCACATGGGAATGAGAACCACAAATGGTTAAGAAATAGCTGATAGATTTTTTTCCCACCAAAAACAGTGAAATGACTATCTAGAACTACCTAATTAATGATGAAGTTGGTTGCTCATGAAAGGTGATCAATAAGGTTCAAGTTTCCTACACAAAATTCAAGGCAATTTATTCCTCTTGTTAACAGAAATTTATATCTTTATTAGGATGCCCATTCTCATGTCTTGTTGCCATACCTAGAGTTGACAAATTATTTGGAAGATTGGTGATTATTAATTACAATGTTATGAACGATAATGGAGATATGATTGAGAGGCAGGGGAAATGGCAAAACGTTGAGAAAACCTACAATTGAAATGGTACAAATGGTTTGTTGAAATTCGATTAGTTTGGTTTATATTTCTTTTTATAAACTAAGTCGTGTTTGTTTTGAAGAACAATAGTATTATCCTTTTAAATAAATGGCTTAATGAACTAATCTATAGTTGGTATTACATAACCGCTGCAGAATGAGTGCTACATTGTTGAACACATGCCAATCAGCAGCTTTCGACGGGAACAATTTGAATTGAACAATTGAATATAAGTATCTATAAATAAATAAAATTTGAATAGATCATGTTTCCAAAGCATTTTCTCAAACAATCATGTTATCAACTTAAACAATAATACTCACCATAAAATATAGAAATTAATATTAAAATATTAAATAGAAATATGGTCGAGAGTCATGCCATGAAGTATAAAATGACAATTAAAGAAATTCCATACTTGCAAGCATTCAAATATTTAAATAAAAAATGTATTAATTAAATTACAAAGAAAGAAATGATACAATGATTAATTTTAAGCAAGATGGTAATATTATAGTAATAGTAAATTAATTACATCACGATGGAAGGAATTGCTGTACAGGAATTCCTCTATAAGACCAAACTTCGAGCACCGGGTGAGATCCCTCACCATCCTTTCTGTTTCAACAGAATAGGGTGCAGTTTTCCTTATGTTTAAAACCTTTTTGGACCTAGTTGGCTTAATAAATTAAATAGAAAACTAGTCTAAAAACGCCATCCCAAACAGTCATTTTAGTTTTAAAATCTACAGAAATACCAGCCGCATACATGCCAGTGACCTTTAGGTGCACCCGCATCGGTGAGTGCAGATAAAATCTTTCTCACTTGTTTCTTTTACTGAGGAATTAAGATCGTGGTGCATTGAAAGTGTTGGCCTCTTGCTAACAGACATTGCTTAGTAAGTCGGCAGAAGGCGCAGGAGCAGAATCGCTCAAACTAATTTGATATTCCAATGTGATAAGGCACAACTCAAACTCCACAGCATGTTCATGTCATTTGCTTGTGAGACTGTTGTGTATGTACCCTATTGAACAAGGTAGTCCATAGATCAAGGTAGGCTACCATTACGGTAGCATGCTCTGCTGCAGCACCTTACAGGAACTAAAACACGAGCTGCTGCCAAAATACTTAAAAATGTGCGTAGCTGCTGCATAAGTTTGTGGGTCGCAAGCAGACCCTTAATGTTACAAAAGATAGTACGGACATTCACGCTTTCTTCAGGGGTTTCTTATACAAATATATTATTAATAATTGAACATTTAAAAGACACTTTTCCTATTTCTCACAAATTAGCCAATTTGTATGTGTGAAAGTTGGCAAGCCTAACCTGCACCTGTACCTGGGAACATTAGCGCCTCCTAGAGTAGCACCCTTGAACTTTGTCCCTGGTTTTGATGGAGAGTTACAAGGACCTGGGTGGAACTGAAAATGCTCAATAAGTCAGTCTATGTTGGGAGTAGGTAATGGACAAGCACATAAAGCAAAATTAAAAATAATTATGAAAAAACAAGTGGAATCAATTTCAATTTTCCCAAAATAGCTGCCACCCACACATTAATTACAAAAATAAATAAATCTCACCAGTAAATTAATGGGAGGCAACTGCTTGAGAATTTCATCATCTGCCCAATAAGGCGAGAGGAACGGGTCACGTGGAACTGTGAACTGAAACTCCTCTGATGGGCTCCGCTGCATCAGAGTGTCCAACGCAGACATTTCCAGGGGAGGGTCACTGCCATTGCTCAGTTTTCTGTGAAGAAAAACATGACACATTTTAAAGCAACACAAAAATAATGGTTTCACTTGCATGAGAATATACTAGGTATTCTTCATACAGCAAGTCACTAATTGAAAACAGCATCAAACATTTCATCTTTAGATTACAGATCCATCAGAGCTGAAACAGAGTAGAAATCAAATATAAACAATTGAAACTTGAGAAGTGTTTCCCAAAATTAAACTATATTAAATATCTAGAGACATTCTGTTAATGTAAAGATAATTTAAGTTATATTTAAATGTTATATAATACAAATAATGCAATACAAAATGGGAAAAATTTCAATTATGCAAAATTCGACGATAAAAATTATTGCAAATTTCAATAATGTTGGACAAAATAAATAAATAACATGAATGAAGACAACAGTTTAAAAAAAGTTTAATGCTTCTTTAATTTTCAATAAAATTACCTTAGATATGTCAATAAAGTTATGAACATGGAAGATAGTAATGCTTTTTTAGAGCACCTCATAATTCACATTAATAATTTAATTAAGTAGCTCGTACATTCACAACTTTCCAACATACATACATTGTAGACTAAATTGTTTCTCTACAGTGAAGCGCATACTGAAACATATTGCTTCAGCACTTTTGTGTTCAGTCACATATAATTGCATTTAAAAATAAAATTATCACATGAAAGATTGCAAGGTACATATTGCCTATTTTGTTTATGTTCTCTGTAACATGTAAATATAATTTCTATTATCCAAACATTAACAGAATGACTGTAAATATTGTGTATGAAGATTATTTTTAGAAATGGATCTCAAGCAGTGATGAGCACTGTAATCTACTCATGAAATATTTTCTATTGTATTGAATTACTGCCTTGGCATATCAAAAATAAAATAATGAACATTTGGGAATGGCAGTGAGGAATTAGTGATACAAAGGAAGACAAAGCATGTATAGACCATTAACTCGTTAGGATAGTTTAATAATATGTTTTGCGACTTCCAGTTGGAGTCGATAGATTGTGCCTGGTTCTGAAAAAGGGATGCTAAAGGACAGTTTGGAGGGAAAAGGGCAGTTCCAATGAGTCGACCGAGCAGATTGGATGACTGTCTATTTTTCAATTAAAATTAATTTTTATGTTTATTTATGAATTTTTAATCTTTTGCAAAAAATAATACGTAAATGATTCAAATTGGAAAATAACTGATCATATTGAAGACAAAATATACGCAACCCACAATACAAGGATTATTTTCTCATTTTGAAAACAGATTGAATTTAAAGCGATAACACCTCACCTAGGGAACTCCCAGAACAATATGAAGTAATTTTATACTTTGCAATTGAGTAGTAGCATGAAAAAGTGTAAAAGGCATTGAATTTTAATTTAAAAAATGTAAATTTGGGGGCAATTTTACATTGTAAACATAAATTTTGGGAGCACAAAAGCACGGTTTAACTATAATGTGCTCATAACTACATACATGGCACAAACACATTGCATTTTAAAGGACCGTCACTTTATCTGATGGTCTGCGACACATCTACACCATTCTTTCCTTCTGTCACGATTCAGGCTTGATTTGAATGCATATTTTTTGACCAGCAACTTACACATACAATTCAAGTATTTGATTTCCCTGTACTTTCCAGGTTTTCCTTTTTTTCCTCTGAAAATTCTGGAAATTACCCCATCAGCCCCTTTTACTATTTTCCTCTTCCAAAAATTAGAAGACAAGAAAATACACAATTGCACTTGGGAAAACCACAGAAGATGCTGATTAATGAACTCAAAATTATTGCTGCATGCATAACAGAATTAAAAAGGACACATAATAATTAGGAAACATTCAGGACAGACTGAAGCATAGAAACTGCTGACACACACTTAAACAACTGACAAACAACACACAACACACACAAGGGCATATGAGTGTGACTATGTAGTTCCATGTCTAGCAGGAATACATACTACACAAAACTGTTTTGAGTACTCTCTCAATTTTTGCCAATGCCATTTGGCAAATTTTTTTTCCAATATCTATTGTCCTATGAATTATCATTTCCCTGAATCAATAACTTTTGCAAAAACTAACTTAACCTACATCATGAAAAATGTTTATATAACTATTTGTGGTCCAATGTTGGGGAGTTGGAAATTGGAATATTAAATGATGTGAAAAGTAAAGTGAAATTAAGGTGAAAAGTAAAAACAAAAGTTACTTTTTGTAACTACATCTTTTATAACAGTTCTGTATTGTCTGAAAATTTTAGATCATCATGTATCGATAATGAAAATGATGTGTCATAATAAACAGAATTGTTTGTCAAAACATACTTTGCACTGTAGAACACATTACTCAAGCACGTTTTCTACAAATTACAAAATTTCACTCGTACACAATGCAAATTCCACCGTTTTTATACATTCACAGCAAAAACGAATTCCTTTGTTTCACAGCAAAAACAATATCCTATCTTTTGTCTACATAGAACACTCATATACGCCTCACTTACATACCCATTGCTACAATGGCTTCTTTTAGAAGTGAAGAACCTTAGGTAGGCATGCCTACAAAACCCAAATGAAAAAAATACAATTATGCCAAAGTCATTTATACACCTTAAAACAGAGTATTATATCTTCATTACAACCAAAATCATACTTAAATATTTAGGTGCTCTAGGGTTATCATGCACGAATGCCCTACTATAACAAAAATATATAATTTAATAGAATTTAAGTTTAATATTCCATCTGGCTAACTTTTTACTCAAATTCTGTTGACAAAAAGAGTGAAAAGTTAATGAAGATCTCGGAGCTAAAAAAATTATATACAAAATACAGAATTGAAGGGTTGAGAGTTATAAGGGTACTAACTGCGTTTTCACCATTTTACAATACAATGAAAACAAAGTTTGTAAATTCTATATAACTTAATACTTAATAATACATAAGATATTCACTGAAAGAGAAGTCTGATAGGTTTATTAGTTAAATATGTATTTAACAACTACCATTAACTTTATTTTCCTGTTTAAACTATTTATTGTAATCTTGTTTTTTCAGGTTCTTTGAATCCAGGTTCGAATTTTTGGCAGAAAAGTTCTTACTACAGGACCTTGGAAATAAAAAAGTGGATAAATCCAGTTGTTACATTTAGAAAAAATCCTCTTAACACATGGTATAGCCAGAATTCATGTTAAGTGGTCAAAAAATCGAATGATGGCAAAATGTGACTTTCCCACCATCAACAACATTTGTACAACACCAGAGACCAAAGCATTCAGCTGATTTTCTCCAAAACTGATATTCCTCAATCAAACTGGTTGATATTGTGGCACCTTGAATTCAACACCGATATTTTAATTATTGGGAGTACTTTACATGAAATCTCTGGGACATTTTCAAAATAAAAAAAAAAAAAGAAGAAAAAAAGAAAGGCTCCATTGTTTTGATTAAATTTTGTAGTTGAATAGTGTGAAAGATGTTTAAGAGAATGATGCAGATCACATTTTCATTAAAATGTAAGATTTTTCAAAAATTGCAAAAATTCATAATTTTTTTTGGTGTTTTCCTACAACTACAATTATGATGTTAGATATCTTTCCTGTAACAAAATCTGTTCCTTAAATATAGATTTTAAAATAACTTCGTATACAATTTTATGAAATGTGAATACTTTTTGCGTAATTTTGGAAGAAAGTATGGGCAAGAAAGTACATGATGTTTTAGCACCACTAGTTTCATTCTTTAAAAACCTCAATTTTCTCTAATGTTCATATAGTATTCACTGGAGCTTAGGATATGGAAAAATCCATGTCCTCAAAAAATCGCAAAACAAACTGACTAATTATGAAATAAAAAGGTTAAAATTATGGACTTTGAGTAATTACAAATAGATTTTTAAACTTCTGTGTCAAAAAATGTGATGCCTAACTCAGCAAATATAATTGATTTCAATAGTGACAATTTCCTGTTTAATAATAAACACAATCCATGCATCCTCTTGGTTGCAGCAAAGATAATACATCAAAAATCCTACAGAGAGTGCTCGTTATGAGATCACGTAAACAGGTATTCTTTCTTTCTTTCTTTCCTTCTAATATTTTGACACAAGGGAGGTTCAAGATCACTATCACATTTTGGTGTTTGAGATGTAAGATACATGAAAACTAAATGGCAGGCCATATTCTATGTGCAAAATACAATAAGAAAACATGTTTATCTCAATTTTGTCAAAATGTCACATAGTCCCCTTATAATTCCCAACCCTTCAATTAATGTTACCTTCCTATTACAAAAATATATCTATATATTCATTATTTCTTTGAAATTGATGTCTACACCTAATCAAGTTCAATGATATAAACATTTGAATTTCTATTGAAAACAGAACAAAAAAGAATCATTTTTGGTCTGCGAGTTTAAACTACATGGAAGAAGAAATACGTAGCAATCCAAAATGTAATGTGCAAAATAAATTCTAGCATTTCTCACTGAGTAAAAAGCCAAACAACTTAATACTTTAAGAACATAATAATAACGATGATTTTAATTTTTTATTACTTTTTCTCAAACCAATTATCTTATTTTAAAATATCTCACCCCTACGCTCATCCCTAAAACATTTTTCAGGATGATTATAACATGAACATGTTGGATATGTTTTCATCTCTCATTTTCATGACAAATTGAAATACTAAGGTTGTCATAAGTATTTTTCAGTCCACTTATATTTTCTGACTGACAAATAGAGGTATTAAGGTTAAAATTACACTATCTTCATGTCATTTTTTAACATTAAAATATTAACTATTAAACAACTTAATAAAACTACTTATACAACAGACCCAATTGAATATTTGTTTACTATCATTTTTATTTTCTTGAACAGCTAGTACAGAAAAATTTACGTAATGCTTCAAAAAAATTAATGTTGAGATTTTGATGGAAATACATGTTATGAGGATCTGTGATTCACAAAAATTCTTTATCGAAACATCTCTGTCTATATGGTCATCTGTGAACAGCACACTTTACATGAAGTTCCTACAACATTTTAATATTTCTCGAAAACCCGAAACAAATACGAAGGTAGCAAAATAATCTACATCCAACATTGAATACTATCTCTTACTATCATCTCTCTACTAACTTAATATCTTTCACATGCTTCCAATGCTAACACTAACACTAAGTAACAAGAAGATTTTACCTTTTCCCAATTGGTTCGTTTGTGGGTGTTCTCTCAGATGAAGGAGATTTTTGTCCTGTCATGTAGAGAAAGGTACTTGTGACTCCTGATGCAATGTTGCCTGCTGCACGACCTAGCCGCGCGGATAGGCCAAGGTCAACTGGTGGCAACTCAAATAAAACATGTTCATCTGATTCTCCCAGGACAGCTTCATTGGCCTCTCGGAGAACAGGTATTTTCCGACCTTCAGAATCAGTCTCTGTATCCAACACGTATTTCTCCAGAAAGTCGGCAACGTACTTCTCCGACTGTTCATCCTGTGTAATAGCCTTCGGAGTTTCCGCTGTTTCAGTTACTGTTGGCGTGGCTCCACTGCTGGTTCCTTGTCCATCTACGGTGTCAGGTGTTTTCTGCAAATTATTCTTGTAAATTATTAACCATAAACAATGTATATAAATCTTGGGGGGAAAAACAAAACTTTCATTTTTATTCCTAGGAAGATCCGCTGCTTGATTATTATTAATTTTCTACACATATTATGACAACTATTTATAACTTTCTTTGTAATATTTCTTTTAGTGTTTTTGTTATTGCATAATTTGTCTGCGTTTTTAATAAATAAATAATATGTTAATTATTACAGAAGTAAAGCAGATATCACATAGTATTGGAGCCATACAGTCACATATTCAAGTTAATTTTAACATTATTACATTTTTATGTTACTGTTTGATGGTTGTGTTGTTATTAGAAAACAATTAGTGCATTGTGAAATGTTTATCAAAGAATTACGTACCAGAGCCATATCAGACAGTTGCAATGGAAGATCTGCTTCAGGACGTGACTGCAGGCTTGCCAGTGACACTGTTGTGAGTGTGTCTGAACCCAATTCGGACATTGGACTTTTGTGAGCAGCCAGTTCTAAGAGATCACTCTCTGATACCTGCAGTGAAATGCAACAGTTAATTCCACATAAACCTACATATTTCAACTGTATCTATACAGATATTAGGAAATAAGGAAAAGCACTAAAATGTATTGAAATAATTGCAGGCTAATAAATCTGAAGTGTGGAACGTGCGGAAAGTACGAGAAAATTAAGAAACACATATTTTCAAATAAGGCATTTTGAAGGCATTATGATAATCTGACATGTTCTTCCCCTGCTGGAATGTGAGATCCAATACTAAGCTGTACACTGTCTTATGAAATTAATAGTCAAAGTGGAAAAATTTCAAAATATGCATAAGAATTAATGCTGTCACCTTGAAAATTGATACAATTGAAGCAAAATGTTTTAAGATGATATAACCAAGAAGTGCATTGTGTTAATAGATAATGGTTTAAAAGAGGAGTGGCTGCCCTGAAGGAACATGGAAAACCAGAATCAGAAGTGAACATGTCACTGCATACATACTGGAGAAATAGTGTGCATTAAAAGTTATAGTGAGAGATACATCCATTATTTACTTGCACAAATAATAGTGCAATGTAAATAAATATAAATGAAGGACAAATACACTGACTTAGATTGGTTGTATCAGAAAATCACATCACATAATAACAGGCTGTGACTGAAAAGTTTTGATGATAAAACTATATAAATTTACTTGGGTAAAGGTATTCCTATGTAATTGCACATGGACAGATGTGACCCAAGGAGGAAATGAAGATAGGGCTTTACCTATTCTTCGGCGTCAGCACAAGGAGGATATTTTATGGTGAACACAATGCTCCCAAAACTCCAGTAGCCTTTACCCCTAACAAAGAATTGAACACAAAAGCTCGCAGGCTGCTCTGATGACAACATAACAAACATGCCCTCACTGGTGCGAAATACAAACTATTTTTCTTGAAGACGAGAACTTCTGAATTTCTCCAAAAAATCTAAAGAAATGACTGAAGCAGGTGAAGACCCATCACAGGAGATCAAACTCCTGAGAAAGATAGAATGCAAATTACTAAGAAAGTTATGAATGCATGACAGTCTCCAGAGATTGGCATTGCTTCATAAAATCTAGTGGCTGATTTCGTATCTAATACCCCCACTCTACCCGCATTTCTTCAATCCATCGTTTAAGAAAAGTTGCGTGAGTAATACTTGGAAAGTAGAATGAGTCGACTTTAGAGCTGCCTGAATGGAAATCACAAGATAAAAATCCCTATCTATGTCAGTTGGGATTCAAATCTGGGTCCTTCAGGCCAAAAAGCCAGCACTGAACCACTGTGACCCCAAATACAAATTTACTCATATGAAAATCTATATGTACCTAAAATCTCATATGTGGGTCATATGAAAATCTATTGAATAAAATAGACAATGAACAGTATAGTTCAATAGGAAGGGCTCCTGACAAATTACTCCCACTTCACACAAAACCCAGTTTATAAAACTGTGTAATCAATGGATGGACTAAGACTGATTGGCTGATTGATTATTTAGCATTTCCGCACACACAAACTACTATGGTCATTTGTTCTATACATATTGTGCATGTTGTATCCTGGGAGGTGGTGATGGGTGGTGTTTCTCCCCAGCTGGAAAGTGAGGTCCAGTACTGACCTACACATCACCTTCGAGGGTACCTCCTCCCGGAATCTTCCCCTTTAGCCAGAAAAAGCTCCACGATCCCAACTGATGATTGGTCTCCTGATGAAGTGAGAGTGTGTATGTGCATGTGTGTGCATGTGTATATGTGTGCATGTGTATATGTGTGCATGTGCGTATGTGTGCATGCGTGTATGTGTGCATGCGTGTATGCGTGCATGTGCGTAAGTGTGCATGTGCGTAAGTGTGCATGTGCGTAAGTGTGCTTGTGCGTAAGTGTGCATGTGCGTAAGTGTGCATGTGCGTAAGTGTGCATGTGCGTAAGTGTGCATGTGTGCGCAAGCATGTACGCGCAAGCCTGAGCGTGCATGAGTGTTTGCTTGCGTGTAAGAGGGAGGAGGAAATATTACAGGTTCTTGGTTTGTTTGTTAAGAGTTGGTATTAAAAGTAAAAACAACAGAAAACCTAACCAGGTCAGCTGGCTGTAAGAATTACCTCCAGACGGGCAAATATCCATCCATGATAACTAGGGTGCTGTTTGTGTTAATGAATAGCAGATAAAGAATAGGGTTGTAACAACTCCATGCCTACCTCTTCAAAGGACTCCGTCTCAGAGCCTGGCACGTGCCCGTTGGGAGAGCATTTCTTCTTGTGGCCCCCTGCCGTGAGGCTCAGTGTGTTGTCCAGGGTGTTGTTGGACATGGACGAGGCCATTGCTAGGCTGTTCTTGGTGCTTGAGTGGCTGGTGACGGGATCCTTGGTCAGGTCGGTTGCCGTGCTGCTCTCTTCTGCCTCGCTGTTATGAGGTGTCGGGCAAGCATAGGCTGCAAAAACACAAAACACACACCTTAGATTGTGTTCAGAAGAAAAAGAAGGTGCCATTATAAATTTGAACATAATATTTCTGCCCTGTCAATTTTAATTTATTTTATATTTAAATTTTTTAAAGAAATTGTGTTTTTATTTCATGATTTACTTATTGTATATAAAATTCAAATATTAAAAGCCTTAAAAAGGCTGAAAAGTTTTAGACCTAATGAACAAAATTAATGAAAATAATACAATGGGCAAGAGCAATTTCCATTCCTTTTCACCACAAAAATCATTTTGGAAACTAAACCTAAAACTACTCTTCAACGGATCATTAGTTTCTTTTCATGATACACCAAGTTTAAGTGGCTAAAACATTGCAATCATTACCATCCTTGCCAATAAACTAAAAGTTACAGAAAAGAGGTAAGACTTCACCAATGACTGCTTCACAGGGGCTAGTCTAACAGGCATGTGAGACAAGTGCGAACATGCTACCTATCGGTGATTCCCTGACTTGACAGTGACTGAGGTGACTTTACTACCCAGCAGCCCTTAGTGGGTGCTGGAGATATCGGAAGATTACTCCAGGGTAATCCAGGGCTAGGAGACGCAACAAAATAAAATGATAAAATGGAAATGAAAAAGCCAGTGCGAAAAAATTCTCCCACCGACAGGACTCAAACTTAGGACCTCCAGGTCAGAGGGAATGCAGTGACATCAGTTGATGCCCTGAGCCATCCCTCCCGATCGACTGCTAGTGCTACATATGGATATTTTCAGAACTTACTTTCTGGATACGTCTCACACATTTTCAAATCAACCAACCTTTAAGACAACGAATCATGAAACCGAACGGAAGCAAGGGA